ACAATGGAACTGATATTATCAATATTTCAATTCGCAGGTTACTTTACTTCACCCGAGTCAAGAAGGCCAGCCAATTCATGAGGAAGGTGACCCAGGACATGGATTTTCCTGCTAGAAACCAACGTCCGAACGGTACCATTTACTACATGGAAGTCCTCGACCAGAAGGCGGCCGGTGAGGGCGGGGAAGTTTCCATCATAAGGGGAGGTATCGGCTACAAGAACGTTACCTTCCACTTCAAGTCCCAGAGGAACAAAGGCTTCGATTTCTCAGTATATGTATACGGACATTAAGGCTGATTTTTTTTTTTTTTTTTCCAACTTTGTCAAAAATTTATATTATATTTATTTTATATACAAGTTTTATATTTTAATTTTCAAATATTTGAGTTTTTGTCTACCCGGTCGATCATTTTTTTTTTCATGTCATAGTCGTTGGTCATTCGACCGTAAGACATCTTATTAACCAGTATAAGTTTGGTTTTTTTTATATATTCATTCACAAATGTATTATTTCTTATGTCCGTCGGACATTTGTCTAGGCGGTTTGCATCCATTTTTGCTTGTTCACATAATTTACAGCTAGGATCCTCAGCCACAACTGTCTTGTGGAGTTGACTATGAAGATAGTCGTCACCAGTGGCCAAGCGGAAGCAGGCTACTGCATCTCTTCTTGGTAGGCCAGCCGGGATCGGGTTTTCCACCAAACATCCAAACATCCCTTCCACCTTATCTTTGTGTATATTTTTTGACAGACATTTATTAACGTCAGTAACAGTGATTGCTGCTTGAGAATCGACAAAGAGAACAGCGCTCTGAACCTGCATTGCTGATAGTTTTCTTTCGGCTATGAGGATCGCTGCTATCTCACCGTCGAAATTCGTACCATCCTCACCCACCGCAGAGCTGAACTGAAACTCCATCGAGTAAACCCCTGTCCCAGTATTTTTAACGGCTGATATGCCTGTAACTGCGTAATATGCTGATCCGTTGGTATAAATGTGGAGCCAATCCTGAGGAGGGTACCTTTGAGCTACAGTTTACTATAAAGGCGTTGGATGAGGGATCTCCTTCCTTAGACAACCTAAGTAATTGGAACAAGTTAGGGAAGAGGTACTGCTGAGTACTTTCCTTCCCCATGCCTGTTATGTCATTATATCATTATCGCCATCACATTTGCTGATTGACAACTTATTGTTGACAGGCGCAAATACATATTTTATAGACAAAAAAAAAATAGTTTACTATAGCTTGATCCGTCGACTTAGGAAACCTTTTGGGTTTGACTCCGAATTTTTCCAATAATTTTTATTATACTATAGTTTTAGTATGGTTTTAAGTTTGGAAATTGGCATTCCGATGGAATCACTGTTTTCATCATTTATTTATATAGTGAATCAGGAACCTTTCTATAAGTAAAACCCACTAATCGTATACTTGTTGACTTATGTAAAATGTCTCTTCCTTATCTTATAACTTGTATTCCTATGTTTTCTGGGTGATGCACTTACTTTTCCTACCTGAAGAAGAAGATAATCTTTAAAATGGTAGCTTTGATTAGGAATTAATGAAGATATGACGTAACGATAAAAAAAATCTTAGAGAGATAATATATATGAAGATTATCAAAGAATAAAGATTACTTGAATCGATATCAATTGGAGGTTAATCCTGAATTTTCGTAAGTTTACTGATTCTCTCGCAGTCTATCATCATTAATAACGTTATCAACTATAATTATAAAAATGTATCTTATATATTAAAATATTAATAAAAATATTTATGATAAAAAACCTTATTAAAGGTTATCCTTTTTTTGTGGTAATTTTTTATAATTATCATATTTAATCAATATGTGAATGAGTTTTTACAAAAACCATTTTTAAAACTCACAAATTTATATTTTATCAATAAAATATTGTTTTACAAAAAAATTAATTTTAAAGTTTCGGCTACAAAAAAAAAAAATGTAATAAAACCATTATTAAAATTTATACGTATAATATACTACTCAAATGACAGTAATTGTTTAATTAAAAATATTTTTTAAAATTTGTTGTGTTCTTTCCAATATCAAACAATTTTTTTTCTCTTTGTATCATCATAAAAATTCACTTTTCCTGCAAAACAAACTTTCATATTTTTTTTTATAATAACCACTATTTCATTAAAAATCGATTTTAATAGCGATTTTATGATTATTCTTGTTTTTTTTAACACTTTTTGAAAATGTTTATTTTTTGATAGCCGAATCGTTGAAATAAAAATTCTTGTTAAAAAGATGTTTTATTTATAAAATAAAAATTTGTGAGATTAAAAAGGAGTTTTTGTATAAACTTTATCATGTATTGATTAAATATGATAATTATATAAAATTCCTACAAAAAAAAAAAGAATAACCAAAATAAGGTTTTTTATCATAAAACTTTGTATTAATATTTTAATATACAAGATAGTTTTTTATGGATTAATTTTTTTTGCATAAACTTAATCATATATTGATTAAATATAATAATAAAAATATTGATATTTGATGTCTTGATCTTTGAAAGAAGGGGAACAAGAATAACATTGAACTCATTTCTTAGAGTTTTCATTCAATAGATTTGCTATTAACAATTAAATATTTATACATTGATTATGTTTAAAAAAAAAAAGGAATATCAATTATTAGCATTTGTCAAAAAACAAAACAAAATTATTTCTAGGAACTATAAATCGAAATATAGCTATATAAAAAAAAATCAACGAATCAGCTTTTAAAAAATGTATGACATAAAAAAAATGTAAGTTAATATATATTAAATGAATTACAATAACCAACTATTTATTTTATTTTCCCTCCCTTGCCTTCGGGCAAAACGGATGTCGGCAAATTTTCGGGGTATGCAAATGTTGTCAATTAACTTCTAGCGATCACAACAGCATAGGTGTCACGTGCTCGTTTCCAGATGGCATCCATCTTCTTCTTCGTCTCCTCTGTCCGGTGGTCGTCCAGAAAATGGTCCTCTTCTTAAAATATTAAAATGAGTAGGGCCAACTACGGTTTCCCACCCGTAAAAAAAAAACTTGAAGAACAGGTAGTTCTCGTCAGTCACAAATTGAGGGGCGTAGATCACAAGTTCTCAGACAGGATGTAGATCCCAGTTTCCCTCAGAAATGACAAAAAAAAAAAAACAAACACAGCTAAGTTTAAACATTTTTGTAAGAAAATCCATTAAAATATTAACATTAATTTATTTTTAAAAATTCGTTTTGAGGGAAGAACCCCATACATTTTTTTTTTTAGCTTATTTATTGAAAAATATTACAATCTGTCTCAAAGGCATTTATTATAGTGTTCACAGATCAAATTCTCACTCTATGTACAATAAATAAAATAAATTATACAGAAAAATAATATATATACAATAAATTAGAATAAAATAACCTAAAAATAAATGAATAAAAAGAACACATACATACGTATATACAATATTTACAATCTGGCTAGAGAACTCCAAACCAGGCTTGTCCCTCCAACTGTGGAGGAAAAAGCATGACTCGTCACCGCGTCACTGGGGCTAAACTGAGTGGAGATTGAGCGAGAGTGCTTAAGCCACATAAACTCATGTCGTGAGTGGAGAATCTGGCCATTGCCAGAACTCCAATATTTACAAACTATAAAAGCTCGCGGGGCCACTGCTGTTTTAACCTCCTTAGAGGATTATATGGATGGGTGGTGCTGGATAGAGATTGCGCAAAGGGATTTGGATAATGGGTAAGGTTCTGGTGGAATTTGGAGAATTTTGCTGGGATAAAGTCTAGGACAAATAGAGTCTATCTCTGTATTATATAGATTACTATCCCCATGGTAATACAATTGATTATTTTTCTTTGATATATTGCATTATAAATATTATAAAAGAGTTAAGTATAACTTACAAATCATATTTCATAAAAAATCAAACATTTAAAATAATTCCAATTTTCAACATTAATATAAAATCTTTAATTGTCAATATAATACATAAAAAACAACAATAAAACAATGAATGCATGTTTTAAATATTATTATTAAATCATATTTTAAAATTAAATTAACAGTTTATTCGTATATATAAAGGAAACAAGGCCGGAGCAGATTACATGCCGAAGTCTAATCTACATTCTCGCTAAAATATTCAAAGAAAATATTTGAGATTACCCCACCAAATTTTTATAATATATTAGAGATGTACTTGCTTCAGCGGTACATATTATAAAAAAAAAAACATTAATTCTTAAAAATACTTATTACTATGAATATAATATTAAAAAATAAATAAATCGCTCAACAAGAAAATGAAACATAAACCAAAAAAAAATCTGGTGAGCGCAACACACAACTTTCACTTACCGGTCTACTTTGAATATAAATTATTTCCTGGCAATGTTGGGCTATTATAAAATTTTTGAAGTACATTTTCAACGGAGTTAAAGCTCAAAACTACATATAACAAATGGACCTTTCAGTTTACAGAATGACTAACTCCAATCTCAACATTTTTGAGTAATGTCATTTTAGTGATATTTCTAATTGGAAAAGTTATATCTATACAGACACTGAGTAAGTTGATACCAAAGTAGGTGATTGCAGCGTTGAAATTTAGAACTGTGCATGAAGGTATAAATTTTGCCACTAGAAACATCACTAAAATTAATAATAAGGAATGTTGAAATTGGATTCAGTCATTCTGTCATCCTAAAAGCTCATATATGCCAAGAGAGATTTTAAAGTATATCTGAATATTTAACATACAAATGATTACGGATTGTAGGATTATTAGTTATTAAACTGTTCTTTTCCAATGCAAAGTTTACTAAAACGAAATTACGAGATGGTAGGTCAAACGTTATAACACTAATTGTAAGTGGATTATGTTGGGATTTCACAAAGGGGAAATTCACCAAATTATTTAATTTTCTAAAAGGTTACGTGATGACTTTTTGGAATAAATTTACGATAGATACCTAATAATTTAAATATAATATCATATCTAAAGTTATTAAACTACAGGAAATATATTTAAGGTTATAAACGTATCCATGAAATATTTGTATATTTCACTACTTCTTTCACACTAGTACAATGAAGTAGTATTTTAAACAATGGCATTGGCTTGATTCGACGGATTTTAAATAATTTTTTAAACTTAGAAAAAAATTTAAAAGTTTACATTTAGTACGAAAATTTCATTTAATTTCCATGGAAACATGTAATTTACGTTAAATAATGTTAGTTTTCTGAAATTGTTTTTTACAAATTTTTTAGACTCTGTTACCTTCTACAACATTATTTGATATCATTTTTTCTAAAATTCTCCTCTTTCCAACGATATATAATACGTATACCTTCTGACTTATTTGCGGAGATTTTCATCCTGGATAAGCATTTTTTTTTCCAATAACATATTCTTTCAAACTTCATATTTAGCCATTACTTACAGTTCCTAAAAGAGAGTTATTTTTTAAAAATAAACCATATTGAAGGTATGTATATATAGGGGAAGACGTATATGAACATTGAGCATTTAACCACTGTAAAGTGACATCAATGGGGATAAGATCTAAATGATAATAAAGACCAGTTAATTATACAATGATACTCCGAGTTTAATCAAAATCGTTAGAGCCGTTATTAAGAAAATTGTAAAAAAATTTTTACCGTTGATATAAAGCGGATCTTCCGATTAGCCGATTTTAAGGGAATAGTTGCTGTAACGTCTTAATCATATCTAAATTATCTTAAATAAGTAATATCAGTTTCGAATGACATTTCGTTTTTGAGCTAGATTGTTCACATACACACTGACCATTTCCCCTTGCTATATATTACATACATAATTGTGAAAGTAAGTGAAAGTAAAAGGACTTACTGATAAATAACTAAATCAATATTTTACAGTTCTTTATGTAATATGTGATAAGCATTGAAACATCTTTCCTTGTATACCTTGGATTGGAGGAAGTTTCTTATATCGGAGTCTGTGTATAAGAAGAGCCTAGCTCAAAAACTAAAATTAAACAGAAATTATTTATTCAAGGTATGTGTATACCTGGAGTAAACACCATATACATTATTCGTCAAAATTGACAACCCAGGAGTTCCTCTTCATATCTAGATTTTAAAGGGTTTTTTCATATCGCAGTTTTACAATTTTTTTTTTCGATTAGAAATAAATGAATAATTTTTCCTTTTACTCCTAACCTGGCCATATCAGGCATACAAGAGTATTGACTATTCTTCACGTATAACGAACTTATTCTAACTAGAGTGGGGAAGTCAAGATTCATTCTGTGGGTACCCCACATAACATATAATAAATTAATTATTATAACCTAACTGATAGATACTTCAAAGTAAATCACAATAATGCTTATTCATCCCTCTTTGCTCAGTACGCTGGTGTTCCTCAAGGTAGTATCCTAGGTCCTATCCTTTATACAGTTTATACAGCTGATATCCCAACCCATCCTAACACTGTCATTACCACGTGTACCGATGATACATGTGTCATATCCGTTAATAATGTTCTAATCATTGCATCCCAAACTCTTCAATCACATATCAAAAACCTTGAAGAATGGTGTCGAAACTGGAGGATTAAAATAAATCCCATCAAATCACCTTTACCCTTCGCCGTAAACCCATGACCTCCTATCCTACAGTATCCTTTAATAATACCCCAGTAATACCTGTTGAATACCCTTCGCCGTAAACCCATGACCTCCTGTCCTACAGTATCCTTTAATAATACATCACTAATATCTGTTGAACAAATCCGATACCTTGGACTCCACTTGGACAAACGTCTAACTTGTGACCCTCATACCCGACTGAAACAACAAGAAAGCGCTCGACGTTTCCGACTACTCCAACAATTACTAGACAAACGCTCTAAGCTTCCAGTTAATTACAAAAGACTCATATACATGACTACAATAAGACCTATTTGGACTTACGGAGTTGAGCTTTGGGGCTCCAGTAAGCCATCGAATTCCTCTCGTATCCAATCCTTACAAACCAAAATCCTTCGGAAAATCCTAAATGCTCCTTACTTTGTCACCAATAAAATAATCCATAACGACCTTAATGTTCCTTATGTTTCCGATTTGGCCCAATCCATATATCTATCCTCCATAATAAACTTCAGAACCATCCGAATCCTCTCGTCTCTAACCTTGCTTCCTCTTCTATCCCTGATAACCCTCCCAGGCGTCCGACAAGAAGATGGCCTCGAGATCTCATATTGTAAATACATTTTTTTTTTTCAGAGTGCTACCAGTGAGTTGTTTCTCAACAAGTGATTTAGTGATTATTTTCTGTTATCAAATTTACTAAATGTATTTTATTTATTAATACAGTTGTTAAGGTCATAAATAAAATAAATTAAAAAAAATATTATAAATTGCTTTTTTTTACTATAAAATTATGTATTTATTTGATGTCTCTATTCTGTCATAACTTCGGACCACAACTACCTTGCCACATCCCTAAAGATATACTGAGGGTTTTATCTCACTAATATTTTTTATGGGAACCTTAGGGACGCAGGGATAATAATTTGGAAATTTAATTTTTATGAAGTGATTCCAAAAGTAATCAGGTTTTATATATAAAATATATTTATTATTTACATTTGTACAATAATATAAATTAATCAATAATTGGACATAATGTCGGTACGTTGGTTATTTCATCTGCTATCCAACGTGACATAGGCATGCATCCTTCCAACGTCGGCATCGGACTGGAAATGCAACGTTGCGTAGTCGTACCCCATGCCACCCCGGGTGATAAATACCTTCCCATCCAGGTCAGCTGATGGGTCGAACCTGACGTCGATGTTGGTGATGTTTCTGTCCATCAGCTCAGGAGGCAGAACTACGTCTATGTCGAATGTCACCTTCCCAAAGAAACCACGTTTGTCGAAGGAAAAAGAGAAATCGGAAGTTGTGCTCATCCTCCGGGGCCGGTAGTTTCTACTGAAATTATAATTTATTAGCTTATTACATTAACAAGAAAAAATAAAACATAACCCCCTAAGGTATATAGAGTATGTGAAATGTATAAAAAAATAAATCGGTACCTCTACAACCCATGAATGGTATGGGGTACAGTACCAAAGTATTGATGACATATCAGGAAGAACCGTTTCAAGGCCAAAGATTGTGCAGAGGTGATAAGGCCAGGACATTGCTCAACCGTGAAATATATAAAAGACTAAAAATAAATAATTTATCCAGAAAAAAAAAGTTTTTCTAACCATCATGTTTCTTGGTAGGAGTCGTTTATTTCCTAATAATCATTGATCAATTTTCATGAAAAGCGAAAAACATGGAATGTTCTGTTCCAATAGTAATATCAAAAACATTATTTAAAAAAAAAAAAGCTAAGAAATTAAAGAAAAAAAAGACGTTCTTTGTAGCACATAGTTTTGATAATCAATATTAACTCAATAATAATTAAAAACAATAAAACATGAACAGGGCCTCATTTGGAAGGAATTAAACTTTGAGGCCACTTTTTGCATAAAAAAAAGATTGATTGAGTGGCTTTAAAAGAAAAAATGGTTTGGATGGTTGGTTTGGATGGAAAAATGATAAAAAAACTAACTTATGGTTCATAATAATGTTACATTAAAATTTATTCCTTTTTTTTAATTTTCATTTGAAAAAACCGATTAAAAAGGTTTTGATGGATTATTTTTTATATATACTTAAGAAATCCAAGAAATAGCGCTTTCAGAAATAAACTTAATTCTTACGCCACCTTTTTTATAAATATTAAGGTTTGTTTTTGAAAAAAAAAAAATAATAAAACCGTCGGACTCAACGCTCCTTACTTTGTCACAAATAAAATGATCCATAAAGACCATAATGTTCCATGTTTCCAATTTGGCCCAATCCAGATACCTATCCTTCCATAATAAATTTCAAAACCATTCAAACCCTCTCGTTTCAAACCTTGCTTCCTCCTCGATCCCTGATAACCCTCCGAGGAGTCTGAAAAGAAGATGGCCTCGTGATCTATTTATGTAAATATATTATTAGAGTGCTACCAATGGTTTGTTTCTCAATAAGCGTTTTCATGTGATTGTATTATTACTGTGTGCGCATTTACTAGTTGCATTTGTTTTTATAATACAGTTGTAAATATCAATGAATAAAAAAAATAAATAAAAATAAAAGAAAAAGTCTTGCACTTTGACCAAGACCAGGACTAGAAAAAAAATTTATATATATATACATTTATACATATATATATATACATATATATGTATAATACATACATATATATATATATATATATATATATATATATATATATATATATATATATATATATATATATATATATATATATATAATTCTAAATTAATAATATAATAACAAAAATGTACAAACCTCTGCCATGGAACATATGAGTTCCTATCCAAGGCAACCCTGAACCCTTCAACGCCTAAGAAGAAGAGGAGTATGAGGGAGTACAGTCGCAGTGCCATATCGGAACGAATACCCACTACCTCCTGAACGATCTATTTAAACTTGCCTTATCAACGGAGTGACTCACTTGAATATTGATAATTTACAAGAATTAAGCAAAAACAGAGCTGACTAATAACGGAAATTTCTAGTTCATTTATATCCAAGCAGGTCAATACATGCATGATGGTCTTAGTAATTAATTTCATTAATTGACGCACCATTATGTAATTAAAGATAAGATTTATTTTCTATATAAATGTGATACTGAAATATTTACTGTGACCGAAACCGATGATAACGTAACTGACTTTGGAAAATAAGTTATCAATATTTATAAATCGAAAATAAAAAGGATTTCATCGAAATTCATCTTAGTTCATATCATTTTAACCCACTTTTGCATAGCACTAACACATACATTATTTTATTATTTTTTTGTTTCTCCATATTCATATCACTAATCATACACCATTACTTTTTTACATTAGAATAGCACTGTTACCTAATAAATTTTTCGCTACTCTTAGTACAAAAGTTCCTATATAAAAAATTGAGTGTTATACAGGAAAGCATTAAAATCTTATCATTTCTTATGGATTTATTAGTGTAATTTCATATTTTATTGACCTCTACTATTTTCCATAGTAGCTACTGTTGCCAAACAAAGGTCTTGGTCTTGCACCTTGCATTCCAAGACTAAGACTGCCTCACTGATGCAAGATCAAGACCAACACTGGAAAAAAAATATATTTTTTAAAATAAAAATTAAGGCAAAATAGTTACTGATGCATGACAATTTTAGTTACTATATGTAAATAATTGATATAATCAATATACTTTTGCATTTAACTCTTTCAATTTTCATTCGGGCTTAGTTAGGTTTCCCTTATCTAAAACAATACAGTAATATCTCTATATTACTAAGCTAATAGATAAATGCAAGAACGTAGCGAGACTCTTGCGCAAGACCAAGACCTAGACCAAAACTGAATTTGCAAGACCAAGACTCGTATCGGTCTCGCATTTGGGCAACACTAATAGTAGCAGACTACTTATAGCCATTGTAGACTAGAGAATGTCACCTTTAACACAAATAGAATAAAATTGGAAAAATTTTACATACTACCGGTAAACCCCTAACAGTAGCAATTTAGATGAGACTAATATAACCTCAAAAAATTACCAAAAATAAAAATCAACTGCTGAAATTATGAGATTAAATAAAACACACTAATATATATTTATGAATAAAAACAAAAAGTTTGAAAAAAAAATATATTGGTGTGAACATGGAAAACAAAATTAAAATAGATACAATAGATTTGGAGGTGGCACTGGTTCAAATCCTACATGGGATCTCTTAATGAAAACAGAACATTATTCCTAACTATTAATATGAAATCAAAATCAAATACATAAGAATTTTTACATACATCTCGGAATCCAGCCTGGCCTATAAGATTTTATATTTTAATTTTGAATTCACATTAAAAAAAAAAAGTGTAGATAACATTAAATATATTAAATAATTTTTATGTAATATCTTTACATCTAAGATCTTTACAACTACATCCACCGCTCCAGTACTGTGCACTGCAAATAAGTATATAAATTATTAGATTGTTCTTAATTATTTTTACTTTATAATTTAAATTTCTGTTCCCTTAATTTAAATAATTTAATTTATAGTTAGAAAGCAACTTATACTATCTTTATTACGACTATTTATTTACTTTATGATGTCCAGGTTCCAGCATCGCATCGGAGGGGATAGAAAATAGAGTGGCAAGGATTAAGGATTTTTCTTAGTCAATTTCCAGAGGGAGTTGTCATTAGTGGAGAGGGAACAAAGATAGAAATTGTAGGATTGGGATCTAAAGGAAGCCAGTTCTCTTTTAACTTGTTAAGAATAATAATTGTATAATTTCCAATCATCAGGATGCCTGGTTCTTGGCCAGATGGTCCTAGATCGGTGTTTGGATTTAATAAGGTCAATAAGGTTTAGGAATAAAGGACTCTCTTTAAGGTTTTTTTTTTTTTTTTTTTTGAGAAGAATGATGAAGATGCAGTCCAGACTCATATTGGAACAAGATGGTGAAGGAACTCACTGCATTATCTAGGTCTTGAGGAGTACTTGAGGGTCTATTGCATCTATTATTGTTTAGCAGAAAAGGTACTTCATAAATAGCTTCACCTACCTACAAATATTTTATTTACGAAAATTTTCGCAATTATGACGTTTTCAATTTGAAGGTCGGGAAACTTTCTGTATTTAATTAGTACTAAAAACTCGTAAATAACCATTTGCTTTCCACGTGGATCGTAAGATAAATTGATCACATAATCGATAAGAAATATGGCCTACAAAAATATTGGGCCGTTTGGCGTATGCAATCTCGTTATTTTGACACTTTGGGGGTGTAGGTCACGCCACACTGCTCAATATTTTTGAAGGTAATCTCTTTTCTTGACATTTTGTTCAAGTTATCTTACGATTCAAGTGGATATTTACGAGTTTTTAGTACCTAATTAAATAGAGAATGTTGCCGACCTCCAGATCCAAAACGCCCCAATTTCGAAAATTTTAGTAAATAAAATATTTGTAGGTTACGATGAGATGAAGCTATTTACGAAGTTTCAGCCGGATGTTAATAATTTGATAAAAAGGGGTCTGTGACACGGACTATTGAATACTACAATAACTATAAATAGTATGATCTATAACAAGTAACAATCGATGACTTGTCGGTATCTATGTCCCGTTTTGAGTTCTTATTGTAATAATAAAAATAGTGCACACTCATTCTTTGTATTTCATAAACTGTCGTTTTACTGCCTTTATAGCTAACGTATTGTTATCTAACGTTCAAAGAGTTAAAGAAAAGAGTGGACACTGTAGTATTTGCATCATTTTTTAATTGACGTTCACAACATTACAGTAATAATTTGTTCTGTTCTTAATATAATAAATACACATTCATGAGTAGTGAATTCAGAGAGAAATTCGGAGAAAAAAAAAATGACATGCGACAAAGGTATTTTGATAGAGAACTACCGAAAACGAATCGATACTCCAAAAAATGAATGAGCTTACGAATTCTACGCTAGTTGTGAAAATACAATAAAAAATATACAAAGTTTTCTTTATTATTCAACCATCCACCTTGAAAATTATTATCAGTAAAAATGATGAATCACTTTGCTAATAATACCGAAATGTTTTCCGGTTCGCGATTGCGTTGTTAATCCTTGGTTAATGAAGTGTTCTGTCATCACTGATTGAATAGATCAATGCTACCATATATGGAAAGTATATATGTATCTCTAATTCGGCTATATACGGTAATAATAACTGTTTTAGGTAAAGCTTACTCAGAAGTTGTTAAATTAAGTTGCAACATCAAAATATTGAGTGGGAGGTTATGAAGTTTAAGAAAAGGCATATATTTACGGCCTTATTATGTTGATAATTCCATGAAAATACCACTGGAGAGAATTTTCAAATAAAATAGACTACATTTTTACTTTCATTTGCACCGTTTTTAAGAAGAGAAGAGCAATAAATTTTCTTGAGAGGGGACAGGAGAGACATGCAGAATGCACTTGTGGGGAGGTGGGGGGAGGGGGAGAGACCTCCGGTAGTAATAGCATTCTCAAGAGATTGTGTCAGCAAATATGATATTGTCTACACAAGCTGACAGGAAAGCTTGTAAGAGTTGAAAAGCATGGTGGGTACAGAACAGTTATAACCACATTTGAAAATTATTTCAACTAAGACAAATTATTTATGATTACAAAAAATACAATAATTTTAATTTAATGTGAATTAAATTATTAAAAATAAATCTAAATACGAAATAAAACAAAATTATAATAATTGCGACAAAAACAAAATCCAATGCTAATAAAAAGGTCATTTCAGTCATTTCACGTTAGTTCAGAAAAAATCGGGGAAAAAATACACATCAACGTTTTCCCATGCAATCAGTTTATTGGATTAAGTAAGGTACGACAGCTCACTAATAGTCGTCTAAACGTGGTAGTTAACACAACGTAGCTACCGCGATAATTACTATCAGCTACAAAGAAAAATTAGATGTGGTAACAAATACCTGTAAATAAAACTTATTAATATAATTTTAAATTATAAAAATTGTACTGTACTAAAATGCAAGTCTACCTACTACCAGATTGCAGATACCTGCAACTAGTGAAGCCCAAAATCGGTCTTGGTCTAACACAATGCACCAGGACTGCCTGACTGTTACAAGACCAAGACCAAGACTGGTAAAAAAAAAATAGTTTTTATGAACAAAAATTAAGGCAAAATAGTAACTGATACTTGACAATTTTAGATACTATACGTAAGAGTTGGTATAACCAATATAATTTTGCATTTACCTGTTCCAATTTTTCATTCGGGCTTAGTTTGGTTTCCCTTATCTGAAAAATTACAGTTATATCCCTATAGAAATAAGCTAATTGGTAACTGCAAGACTGTTGCAAGATTCTTGCGCAAGACCAAAACGAGTCTTGGTCTAGCATTTGGGCAATCTACCTGACATTTGGGTAACCTTAAACAAAACAGCAATGAAAAAGAGTACAGGAAAAACACGAAACTTTTGAGTTTGTATGCAGTTGTTGTTTCAACGTTAATTGCATAATTGTTAAACCTCAAATTTTGAGAGGAAAAGATAGTCTGCGCACCCCCCTACCGTGAACCTCTCTTTTCCACATCCCTATAAATTGCATACCGTTGTGTTCCTTGTAACTATTTATTTTTAAAAAAGGCAATTTTCTCACAAAAAAAAGTGAACGCACTGCCCTGAAATGGCTTCCAAAGATGGCGGACTGACGACTTTCAATTGAGTTAGCTTTTTGGTCACTGAGAATCAGCATTTGGCTTAATTTCGTCATAATTGGCCCTTTATTAAAGCTGGATAGTCAGAGAATAATAAAATATGAACTAATATTAAAAAGTAATTGGTTTAGGCAATAAAAATGAAAGAAAACATTTTTTATTTTTAAAAAATTTCAAGTTGAAAATCAAGCGTCGTTTATAATTAAACGGTCAACAATAACGGAGAACGTCCTGAAATGAAACAAATTTTCTCTTTCTAAAACACCGATAACTTTATTAAATATTTCAGGGGTTTTGTAAAAAATGCACTTAATCGGCAGAAAGGGCGGTACTGGGGTTGTTGCCTACAGCCCTCTGCCACATCATTCAGTACTCATAAATGGCATGATTATAGCGCTATAATAAAGTTTATGGTACATTATATTGATTGTATTAACAAAAAAATATTAATGCAATAATTTAATCGCCCAAATAATATTAAACATTTTATTTATTTTAAATATTACTTCGTTTATTATAAACTGTTTGAGAAGGCCTCTATGGTAAAAATTATATAATTATAGTAATGAAACTAAATTCAAAAATAGTATGCTGAATATCATCAATTTTTTATTTAACGTTAGCAATTTAACACTTTATTTTGTATATTTAATGATTCTTAGTGGTAAGTTAAATTGTATATACAAAAAAAAAAAAAATTGTATATACTTTTCCGGAAATGAGACATATTAATACCCGTTTTATAAACTAAAATATATACTTAATCTGAGCTAGATATATTGAATAGTTGCCGGGTTGTTTAATAAAACTCATATAGCACTAATAAAAAAATTAATTTCATTTGTTTATTTGATTTTATGTTTCAGTTATTTTATTGTTTCGGTTATTATAGGCCATTTAATAACAAATGTCACTTGATTTTTAACTTGGATTTTTTTTTTAAATTAACTTAACTTGTGTTTTTTATTGCCTAAGCCAATTATTTTAATATTGTTTCATGGTTTATTATTCATAGACTAATAAAAGGCCAGCTTTAATAGAAGGCCAATTATGACTAAATAAGGCCAAATACTGGTTCTCAGTGACCATAAAACTAACTCAAGTCAAAGTCGTGAATCTGCCATCTTTGGACGCCATTTTGGACCAGTTCGTTTACATTTTTTTTTGTGGGACTCTCAGCATTTTTTTTAAATAAATAGTTACAAGAAACATAACTATATGCAATATATAGAGATGTGGGGAAAAGGGAGAGTTCACCGTAGAGGAGTCTGGTTAACTCATTATTTGATGGATTACAATAGGTCATAATTTATAATAACAAACCGAAATTTGTATCACAATTATTATACAGCTTATATATAACATGATAATTTTGTGTACGAAAAAAAAAATAACCGGATGTTTAACTTAAAATTATAAATCCTTCCGTGTTCACATCATATGATTCACCGGAAAAAAATATCTGATAAAACATCCAAGGAATTTCCACTTCATATCTATGCACTCTATATCAGATTTCGAATATAAAACCGTTGCTTGGAGGCATACGATCAGTCGAAATGAAGTTCTCGAGCACAGTACTGGTTCTGTCTGCGTTGGCATTCTTGGGGATAGCGACAGCGCGTCCTAACTATGTCAACAGTAATGAGCAGAGCTACAATGGCGGAAACTTCTGCTTGGGTCGACCGTTAGGAAACGAAATGTAAATTTAAATAATATTGTTACAATCTATTATATTATAAAGTATTTATATTCAAGACAAATTAATTTGGACTAATATTAAATATTGTAAATTTAAGAATACACGGGGTTGATAAAGTTTAATTCTTCGACAATGTCAGCAGATGATATAAATAAATATAATGTTAAATAAATAATAAATAGAGAGCGTTGTAAGAAAATTATAAAGCATGACTAAGGCTAAAATAGCGTTGAGGCAGGTATATTATCTAAATCTCAAATAACTCAATATTGAAATAATTTCTTTTTTTTTTTTAGGTTGCTATATCAGACAATATTTAATCATAGAGGCAACAATATAAGGTAAAGCATGAACTATGTAAAAATTATTATGAATGATTATACAGAAATTATTATCATAATATAGTTGTAATAAGTTAATTTGATTTTGTATCATGTTACAGACTACCAAAGTCATGGACGCCTTACGTCAGGTACGCCTTCTTCGGTAAGGTGACCGTTGACATCGATCTTCCCATGAACAGCCGGAGCGTCGGAGGTACCATCAGCTACATCGAGGGACTCAACCAGGCCAGGTGTGAAGGATCCGTCCGAATCACCAGAGGAGGAGTGGGCTACGATTATGTCACCCTCCACTTCGAGGCAAACTACTGGAGCGACATCAACTTCAACATTAGGGTGTACGGATGTTACAAGGGATATTGTTAATGTGTTATAACTATAAATAAAATATTTATTTATTTATTTATTAAAGATGGCTTCTATTCATTATACCAGTTGCCCAAAATCGGTCTTGGTCTTGCACTTTACAAGACCAAGACCAACACCACTTATCCGTTGCAAGACCAATACCAAGACTGGTAAAAAAAGATATATTTTTTGAATAAAAATTGAGGCTAAGTAGTTACTAATACTTGACAATTTAAGTTACTATATGTAAAGAATTGGTGTAACCAATATACTTCTGCATTTAAATCTTCTAATTTTTCATCCAGACTTAGTTAGGTTTTTAATATCTAAAAAATACAGTAATATCTTTCTAGTAATAAGCTAATACTGTTACTGTTACGTCAAGACTGTTACGAGAGTCTTGAGCAAGAACAAGACCTTGATCAAGACTCGTCTCGGTCTCGCATTTGGGCAACACTGATACACAGTATTGTGTATAACAAACCGAAATTACTCATCGATTATTTTACAGAATATAGAAATTTATATATATATATATATATATATATATATATATATATATATATATATATATATATATATATAATTATTTACAACTTTTCCTTAATCGACCTTTGAGTATTATATTTAAACATAACCATTTAAAATAGAGCTTCGATACCTCAGGTCAGGGACACATCGACAATCTCAACACTGTCCAAGGCGTAATATTAGGATGAAAATTTCTGAAAAAATCTGTGGATGGCGAAGATGTACACGAAATAAAATATTAATTTGATTAAGGTGGTGGAATGGTAGAAGAATGGATATTACTATTAATTAATTAATTAATTAAAAGAGGAAAATAAGATATTTTTTTATGCGTCCATGTGCTAGAGAATCAAAATATTTATAATATCGATGATACCATCGACTATCGGTATTTTTAGTACGGTATTTTGGTGGCACCGATATGATAACGATAGTTAATGGTCGATATAGATATATATATTGGACTGTCGATATCCTATCCTATCCTTAGTTGTAACCTACTGACATGAAAATGCAGAATAATAGTGAATATCTTCCAATTTAATAATTAAGCTACAATAATCGAGTAAATCCAAATTGTATCGCATTTATAGTAAGAGGTAGGAAAAGGATAGGAGTACATGCATCTGAAACTGTTGTGGCACAAAGCCTTGTCGGGTTCCTGTCGTTGAGCTGAGTGAGACCGCTCTACAGAGAAACGTAAAATTATTTCAAATGAACCACTCGTGCCACTTTCAGACTATTTGAATGAAAACAAAAACAGCTGATATCGAAAATAATTTCATTTTAGGTTGAAACAACTTTTTAACTCCATCTTATGGATAAATAAATAAACTCATTTTAACACGAATATTCGTTTTTGAGTAACAGATATGCAAAAGTGATTTAGAGAGACATGATTATTTGATTCAAGGGATTTTCAGAGGATCCTAATTCACGAGTAAGGTGTTTTCGCCAAAACACTTTTCAGTCCTAATAAGCACGGGCGGATCTACGGGGGGGAGGGGTCTTTCGGGCTGAAGCCCCCCCCCCAAAAAAATGGAAAAATATAACCATGTTTTATGGGGAAAAAAATTTAAAAAATACCTCTTAAAGTATTATTGTTCGTGTAACTACATTTAAAAGTACTTAAGGAATAACTTAAACACCATTTCATATAGGTAGTTAGTTTCTTTCTGTTTTTCCAAAGTAATTATCGTTATTTTTATGAAAAAAAAAGGTTTCGGGCTGAAGCCCCTCCCCCAAAATTAAATTCTGGATCCGCTAGTGCTAATAAGTGTTTTGTCCAAAATCGGTCTTGGCGTTGGCCTTGGTCTTGCGCTTTGCATGACCAACACAGCCTATCTGTTGTAAGACCAAGACCAAGACTGATAAAAAAAAATTTTTTTTGAATAAAAATTGAGCCAAATTGTTACAACAAAACGATACTTTTAGTTACTATATGTATAGAATTGGTGTAACCAATATACTTTTGCATTTAACTCTTCTAATTTTTCATCCAGACTTAGTTAGGTTTCTCATATCTAAAAAATTACAGTGATACCACTCTAGTGATCAGCTAATAGGTAACTGCAAGACTGTTACGAGAGTCTTGCGCAAGACTAAGACCTAGACCACGACTGAGTTTGCAAGACCAAGACTCGTATCGGTCCCGCATTTAGACAACACTAGTCCTAATGAATCTCGCAACAACGCGAATACTCATCCTGTCCGAGATATTACATTACTTAGGATTAATGGTAACCACTAGCGGATCCAGGATTTAGTTTTGGGGGGGACCTCTGCCCGAATGATTTTTTTTTTTTAAAACATAAAACGATAATTAAGTAGGAAGAAAAAGAAGATAACTTAACTATCTATACGAAACGAGTTGAAGTGATTCTTTAAGTACTATTAAATGTAATTACGCAAACAATAATTCTTTTAGAGGTAATTATTAAATACGTTATTCATAAGACATGGTTATTTTTTATCATTTTGGGGAGGGCTTTCAGCTAGATCCGCCCGTGATGGTAAGTAAAAATACAATACACTACCTTCGGTAGTGAGGAAGCTAAAAATTGTGATATGTGAGCCATACAAGACTTTTTATATTGTTTCATGAAAGACGCTAGCATTTAGTACCTGAAGAAGTTTTTAACTCATCATTTAGGATGGACTTCATTCCTTTTAGATTATATTTTTTAGCTAAGTTAATTCGGAAATTGATGTAAATTAATCGTATTTAATTATGTTAATAACAAAACACGCGAAATAAAATTTAATAATTGTTCCACATTATCAGACCTACATTTTTATGAGTTAAGATTCGAAACGAGAACATACTGGATTTCGATTAGGCACTCAGAGAAACACAAATGGACCAAAGTAACAAAAAGAGGTATTTTTTTTGGAGATTCAGCCGAAATCTGTATTCAGGTTCAATAGTTTGAGCCTGACAATAAAAGCGGAGTAAAAGGTAACATCTTACAAGTTATCAATAAAATATTTTATCGTCCCTGAACACTTATCAATTTCATGATCAAGCTATAAAGGACGTATAAAAAATAAATAAAATATGACAAAGAAAAATTTTAAGATTATATTATTATATTTAATATAATGGGTGACCTAATAAATGACCGGATATTCAACTGCTTATATTCATTCCTTCCAATCACACATTATGATTCACCAGGAAAAATTAGCTGATAAACCGTGCGAGGAATTTTCATTTTATATCATGCACTCCAAAACCGATATCGGATATAAAGTCGTTGCTTGGAGGCATAAGATCAGTCGAAATGAAGTTCTCGAGCACAGTACTGGTTCTGTCTGCGTTGGCATTCTTGGGGATAGCGACAGCGCGTCCTAACTATGTCAACAGTAATGAGCAGCGCTACAATGGCGGAAACTTCTGCTTGGGTCAACCGACGGGGAACGAAATGTAAGACTTCAATTTAAATAATCTTGTTACAAGCTACTATATTATAAATTATTTAGATTAAGAAGAAATTAGTATTAAATTAATAATATTGTAAATTTAAGAATACACGGGGTTGATAAAGTTTAATTCTTCGACAATGTCAGCAGATGATATAAATAAATATAATGTAAAATAAATAATAAATAGAGAGCTTTGTAAGAAAATTATAAAGCATGACTAAGGCTAAAATAGCGTTCAGGCAAGTATATTATCTAAATCTCAAATAACTCAACATTGAAATAATTTCTTTTTTTTTTTTAGGTTGCTATATCAGACAATATTTAACCATAGAGGCACCAATATAAGGTAAAGCATGAACTATGTAAAAATTATTATGAATGATTATACAGAAATCATTATCATAATATAGTTCTAATAAGTTAATTTGATTTTGTATCATGTTACAGACTACCAAAGTCATGGACCCCTCAAGTCAGGTACGCCTTCTTCGGTAAGGTGACCGTTGACATCGATCTTCCCATGAACAGCCGGAGCGTCGGAGGTACCATCAGCTACATCGAGGGACTCAACCAGGCCGGGTGTGAAGGATCCGTCCGAATCACCAGAGGAGGAGTGGGCTACGATTATGTCACCCTCCACTTCGAGGCAAACTACTGGAGCGACATCAACTTCAACATTAGGGTGTACGGATGTTACAAGGGATATTGTTAATGTGTTATAACTATAAATAAAATATTTATTTATTAAAGATGGCTATTATTCATTATACCAGTTGCCCAAAATCGGTCTTGGTCTTGCACTTTACAAGACCAAGACCAACACCACTTATCTGTTGCAAGACCAATACCAAGACTGGTAAAAAAAGATATATTTGAATAAAAATTGAGGCTTAGTAGTTACTAATACTTGACAATTTAAGTTACTATATGTAAATAATTGGTGTAACCAATATACTTCTGCGTTTAAATAGATGTAAAGAATTGGTGTAACCAATATACTTCTGCATTTAAATCTTCTAATTTTTCATTCAGACTTAGTTAGGTTTCTAATATCTAAAAAATACTGAAATATCTTTCTATTAATAAGCTAATACTGTTACTGTTACTGCAAGACTGTTACGAGAGTCTTGAGCAAGAACAAGACCTTGATCAAGACTCGTCTCGGTCTCGCATTTGGGCAACACTGATACACAGTATTGTGTATAACAAACGTAAATTACTCATCGATTATTTAACAGAATATAGAAATTATATATATATATGTATATATAATATATATATTGAATATATATATATATATATATATATATATATATATATATATATATATATATGTATATATATATATATATATATATTTACAACTTTTCCTTAATCGACCTTTGAGTATTATATTTAAACATAACCATTTAAAATAGAGCTTCGATACCTCAGGCCAGGGACACATCGACAATCTCAACACCGTCCAAGGCGTAATATTAGGATGAAAATTTCTGAAAAAATCTGTGGATGGCGAAGATGTACACGAAATAAAAAATTAATTTGATTAAGGTGGTGGAATGGTAGAAGAATGGATATTACTATTAATTAATTAATTAAAAGAGGAAAATAAGATATCTTTTTATCCGTCCATGTGCTAGAGAATCAAAATATTTATAATATCGATGATACCATCGACTATCGGTATTTTTAGTACGGTATTTTGGTGGCACCGATATGATAACGATAGTTAATGATCGATATAGATATATATATTGGACTGTCGATATCCTATCCTATCCTTAGTTGTAACCTACTGACATGAAAATGCAGAATAATAGTGAATATCTTCCAATTTAATAATTAAGCTACAATAATCGAGTAAATCCAAATTGTATCGCATTTATAGTAAGAGGTAGGAAAAGGATAGGAGTACATGCATCTGAAACTGTTGTGGCACAAAGCCTTGTCGGGTTCCTATCGTTGAGCTGAGTGAGACCGCTCTACAGAGAAACGTAAAATTATTTCAAATGAACCACTCGTGCCACTTTCAGACTATTTGAATGAAAACAAAAACATAGCTGATATCGAAAATAATTTCATTTTAGGTTGAAACAACTTTCTAACTCCATCTTATGGATAAATAAATAAACTCATTTTAACACGAATATTCGTTTTTGAGTAACAGATATGCAAAGGTGATTTAGAGAGACATGATTATTTGATTCAAGGGATTTTCAGAGGATCCTAATTCACGAGTAAGGTAGTTTCGCCAAAACACTTTTCAGTCCTAATAAGTGAGTGTTTTGTCCAAAATCGGTCTTGGCGTTGGCCTTGGTCTTGCGCTTTGCATGACCAACACAGCCTATCTGATGCAAGACCAAGACCAAGACTGATAAAAAAAAAATTTTTTTGAATAAAAATTGAGGCAAAATAGTTACAACAATTCGATACTTTTAGTTCCTATATGTATAGAATTGGTGTAACCAATATACTTTTGCATTTAACTCTTCTAATTTTTCATCCAGACTTAGTTAGGTTTCTCATATCTAAAAAATTACAGTGATACCACTCTAGTGATCAGCTAATAGGTAACTGCAAGACTGTTACGAGAGTCTTGCGCAAGACTAAGACCTAGACCACGACTGAGTTTGCAAGACCAAGACTCGTATCGGTCCCGCATTTAGACAACACTAGTCCTAATGAATCTCGCAACAACGCGAATACTCATCCTGTCCGAGATATTACATTACTTAGGATTAATGGTAACCACTAGCGGATCCCGGATTTAGTTTTGGGGGGGACCTCTGCCCGAAAGATTTTTTTTTTTTAAACATAAAACGATAATTAAGTAGGAAGAAAAAGAAGATAACTTAACTATCTATACGAAACGAATTAAAGTGAGGGCGGGGTGGCCGAATGGGCTAACGCGTATGCACTACACCGCCGTTGCCCGGCAACCGGATATATGATTCTATGATTTGAAAATAGTCACGAGTTCGCGTCCCGGTGCCAGAGGGGTTTTTAAATTCCCCGCCCTCACCCTCTGGTCCGGGAAAATTCCCGTATAGCCTAAAAGGCGAGGTAGGGAAGAACAGAAAAAAAAAAAAAAAAAAGAAAAAAAAAAGAAACGAGTTGAAGTGATTCTTTAAGTACTATTAAATGTAATTACGCGAACAATAATACTTTTAAAGGTAATTATTAAATATGTTATTCATAAGACATGGTTATATTTTATCATTTTGGGGAGGGCCTTCAGCTAGATCCGCCCGTGATGGTAAGTAAAAATACAATGCTTCTCTACCTTCGGTAGTGAGGAAGCTAAAAATTGTGATATGTGAGCCATGCAAGACTTTTTATATTGTATCATAAAAGATACTAGCATTTTGTAGCTGAAGAAGTTTTTAACTCATCATTTGGATTTTTTAGATTATAATTTTTGGCTAGGTTAATTCGGAAATTGATGTAAATTAATCGTAGTTAATTAGCGGAATGTTAATAATAAAACATACGAAATAAAATTTAATAATAGTTCCACATTATCATACCTACATTTTTATGAGTTAAGATTCGAAACGAAAACATACTGGATTTCGTTTAGGCACTCAGAGAAACACAAATGGACCACAGGTAACAAAAAGAGATATTGTTTTTGGAGATTCAGCCCGAAATCTGTATTCAGATTCAATAGTTTGAGCCTGACAATAAAAGTGGAGTAACAGTGAACATCTTACAAGTTATCAATAAAATATTTTATCGCCCCTGAACACTTATCAATTTCATGATCAAGCTATAACGGACGTATAAAAAATAAATAAAATATGACAAAGAAAAATTTTAAGATTATATTATTATATTTAATATTATGTGTGACCTAATAAAGAACCGGATATTCAACTGCTTATTTTCATTCCTTCCAATCACACATTATGATTCACCAGGAAAAATTAGCTGATAAACCGTGCGAGGAATTTTCATTTTATATCATGCACTCCAAAACCGATATCGGATATAAAGTCGTTGCTTGGAGGCATAAGATCAGTCGAAATGAAGTTCTCGAGCACAGTACTGGTTCTGTCTGCGTTGGCATTCTTTGGGATAGCGACAGCGCGTCCTAACTATGTCTACAGTAATGAGCAGCGCTACAATGGCGGAAACTTTTGCTTTGGTCGACCGACGGGGAACGAAATGTAAGACTTCAATTTAAATAATGTTGTTACAAGCTACTATATTATAAATTATTTAGATTAAGAAGAAATTGGTATTAAATTAATAATATTGTAAATTTAAGAATACACGGGGTTGATAAAGTTTAATTCTTCGACAATGTCAGCAGATGATATAAATAAATATAATGTTAAATAAATAATAAATAGAGAGCTTTATAAGCAAATTATAAAGCACGACTAAGGCTAAAATAGCGTTGAGGCAGGTATATTATCTGAATCTCAAATAACTGAACATTGAAATAATTTCTTTTTTTTTTTTAGGTTGCTATATCAGACAATATTTAATCATAGAGGCACCAATATAAGGTAAAGCATGAACTATGTAAAAATTATTATGAATGATTATACAGAAATCATTATCATAATATAGTTCTAATAAGTTAATTTGATTGTAAATCATGTTACAGACTACCAAAGTCATGGACCCCTCAAGTCAGGTACGCCTTCTTCGGTAAGGTGACCGTTGACATCGATCTTCCCATGAACAGCCGGAGCGTCGGAGGTACCATCAGCTACATCGAGGGACTCAACCAGGCCAGGTGTGAAGGATCCGTCCGAATCACCAGAGGAGGAGTGGGCTACGATTATGTCACCCTCCACTTCGAGGCAAACTACTGGAGCGACATCAACTTCAACATTAGGGTGTACGGATGTTACAAGGGATATTGTTAATGTGTTATAACTATAAATAAAATATTTATTCAATTTTTAAATAAGCCTTTTATTCCATACAAACAGTATTGTTTCGAAAGAAACGAACCGAAATTAATCATATTGTATTTCTACATTATTCTCTCATAATTGAAATCTAATGGGAAAGGGGAAGAGCGGGATATAAAACAAACAATTTGCACAAAGCACATGGAGTAAGATATCTTCTCTCATAGTATATATATTTTTCTGAATGGAATGAGACCACGGATAATGTAGTCATTTTACGATTAATTTTAGATTAAGAAGACAGAAACGTTAACATTATTTGGTGAAAGTTGTTAATAAATAAATAATCGTTACTTCCTAACTATTAAAAAGTAAAACAATGATCACTATTAGTTTTTTTATTCTCTTCTTCTTTCACTTTTAGGCTATAAACGTTTTTTTTTCCGGATCAGGGATAAGCGTAGGTGATTAATGAATGCTAGAGTTGAAATCCCTTCGGAACTCGTACTTATTTTATGAAATTATATCTTTGATCATGTGGGAGAAATTGATCAAAACGAAAATATTTTTTTTATTTTTAGGTTTTTATATCAGCTAATATTTATTCATAGAGGCAACAATATAAGGTAAAGCATCAACGATGTAAGAATTATTCATTATAATACATAACTGTAATACAGAATTTATTATGGAATAGGAATGGTAGATGTAGGAGAATAATAGGTCTTTGTTAGGAGACAAAAACGACTTCATCATGTATTAAGATTATGACAAAACATATAATTTACATTAGTAAAAGTTTAAATATGAAAATTTACTATTTTTGATTTTATTCCTCATTGGCCAGTAAGGGCATATCCGCACAGTAGATAATTCACAGATATGATAACTATTAAATCATCAAAAGTGTTTATCTCACGATATCGATGCGAAATGCATTTGTGCGTCAAACGTTGGATATAAAATGCACATTCTAGCGGCATAGTTCAGTTTGTGCTAAACCCGCAATGAAGCTTTTGGTGACATTAGTAGTTCTGGAAACGCTGGGTACTCTCCAGCTCGCCAGCGGCTACAACTGGAATAAATGGAATTACACAAGACGCTACCACGCGTATGTTCCAAAACTGCAGACACACGTGGTGCATAGATACAGCAACTCAACATATGTTTGGGGTCGGCAGGAGGAGGCTAATAGGTGAGGATTGCTTTGACGAGATGTAATGGTACTAACTCTTCATAAATTATCAATATTAAAAAGAAATTAAACTTTTTCCCTCATCAAGTTTATTTAAACAACAATACTCGCAAATGACACCTAGTAAACATATATAGTTAGTGTTATTAAAACATGCTCCACTGTAATTCAGTATATATATATATATATATGTATATATATATATATATCTATATATATATATATATATATATATATATATATATATATATATATATATATATATATATATATATATATATATATATATATATATATATATATATATATATATATCAGTATATATATATATATATATATATATATATGAATCGGAAGGAACGCAAAATTTAGGATAGGAGCGGGTTGCAAACAGGAATATATATATACAAAAAAAAAAAAGAATATTCTTGCCCGATTTATTGACTAATAACAAATCAACACAATTTCACTGATAAACAATACATTGCAAATAAGTGTTTTTTAAATTATAATATTCCTTTGTATAACCAATTCCTGGAGTTTGACCCATATCTTCCGACTCACCCTGCATAAACATACATGTATACTTATTGATTTTACTTTAATATATTGTTTCAGAGATATGCTAAGCATTAGAGTAGCTCACAGCGATTACGAAATCAGGTAATAGCTCTTTTTAATACGTTATTGTTAGCCTATTAATACTGTTTTTCTATAATCTTTTAACATTATAATGTACTTTTACGATATAAGTACCAATATAAATTCCTAACCAACCCCCAATACGGCCATAGCTTATAACAATATAAAGAACCACATTATCCTCTAACGATTATAATCTTTTGGATGTAGGAAATGTATGATGTATAACTCAAGTATGACGCACATTACATACGGCTTTGTCGGGAAGATAACAGCCGACGTCACACTTCCTATCGACCGACAAGAATTCGAATGTCCCATCGCTTACATCGAAGCACGAAGTCTCATAAGAACTGCAGGATACGTTTGCATCACCAAAGGAGGCATCGGACAACGTTTCGTACACATCCATTTAGAGTCAAACATCAACTGTAATCTGGATTACGAAATAAGGATAATGGGAAAATGTTATATACCACCACCTCCACCACCAATCCCCACTAGTGAACCAATTTGTAAAGATATTTGTGTAACGCCTTGTGAAGATCCTTGTGAAACGCCTTGTGAATATCATTGTGATCCTTGTGAAACTCATGTTGAACCACCTCGTAAATGTTGTTGCGAACCTCCTTGTGAACCAACTCTACCGCCTTGTGATCTCCCTTGTAAACCTTGCTGATCCCCTTGTGAACCCCAAACACAACGTAATGTTAGATCACGTAGAAGAATTTACTAATGTTTTGACATACATGTTTATATGAATACACTTTTATGTCTATGAGTTATAAGTACATACAATAAATAAATTCTATATATATTAATTCACAACCAACTGTATGTCCTCCTTAAAATACTATTAATATAAAACATTATTAATATAATATTTATATATTTCATATTATTTATAAAATTCTTCAAATATATCTTATTAAATTAATATATTACTCCATTTATATCCCAAGATATCTTAAAAATATATATAATCATTATTTAATTAGGTTTTGTAACATTTAAATGTTACAGCACACCGAAAGTTGAGTTCTCATATTAAAGTATTTCAAAAAGATAATTTGTTCACCATTGTACTCTCATCTAGAAAACGAAAAATCATTAATGCTGAAAAAATATTAGCACATGAAAGTCCAGATGGAAATATTAAAAAAATAATCACAATAGTAGGTAAAGATAAGTTAAAAAAATTAAAGATTAAATGGAATGAAGATAAGTTAAATAACATATCATTTGCCTATTGACAATCTCAATAATTCGTCAAATCCAATTATGTATTTTACTTATAACTTACTTTTAAGAGAGAAATTACATTTCGGACTACCTCACATGGTCCGTTGAAACCTATGAAAACAAATCCTAACAAAAACATTGGCTAGAATGCCAGTAGATTTCCATACCTCTGTTAGAAAAATGATGTAAATAACAGAATGGGAAAACTTGGAATCGTCTCAGAATTCTTTCTAGGTAACTCATGTAAAGAAATCTGATTAATTTTACTACACAAAGAAAGAGGCTTATTACAAGAGACACTGTTCATCATAGATTTAACACATTTTTTTCTGGAAAATGGCTATAATGGTAATGATTAAACTAGTTATAAAGATGTAAATTTAAATGGTATTTCATGGTATAGAAATTTTGACAGAACTTAAATGACAAATTTTCAAATTGGCTTCCTCTAAAACATCTTTAATTTTATTTGTTTTAAAATAATTAACCATATCTTAAATATAATGGTTTAATATTTAACTAAGAGAAAAAAATAACTTTTTTCAAGATTGTAAACATTTTTTTTTTTTTATTCTACAACAGCCTCGTTTCAAAATCGTAGATTTTACATAATGAAACAAGCAGAAGTTAAGAAATTTTGTAACCAAACGGAAAACGAAACGGAATATCTTAACAAATGACCGAATTCGCCTTCTTGGAAATCCTAACCCACTGTTTGGCTTTATACGGTTTTCAAATACACCTAACACTCTGGAGTTATCTTTTGTCCTCCCCTTCCTCGCCGTTAAGGCTATACGGGGTTTTCCCGGGCCAGGATGTGGGCGGGGATTTAAAAGACGCCTTGGCACAGGGACGCGAACTTGTGACTATTTTTATAACACAATTGTCATATATCAGGTTGCCGAGCAACGCTGGTGCTGTGCACAACGCATTAGCCCATTCGGCCACCACGCCCACAATAACACTCTAAAGTGTGTGAATGACTGTAGTTGATGTCATAGCGGTTTTCTCTAAGGTCCGTTAGTCTTCAACCGAAGTCCTCGTTTTATTGGTTTTCCCATTGTTTCTATTGCTCTGTCATTTGGTTTGACGTTGGTTTTCCAAAAGTTCTTCTTATTAAGAAGATACACTTTCAAGTCTAACATTAATTGAAGGAATTGGTTGAACACCACCAATTATGCAGAAAACTTCCATCATATTCAAGATACATTTAGTTTCACTAACTAATGTTATGATGAAGATTTCAAAACATTCCATGGTCTGATAATTCTTGGTAACTATTTTCATTCAAGAGGAAACTTACAAAAGTTATCTACCAATTTCGCAATACAAACCCGCATTTCTTCTGACCATTACAACTAACAGGGATATTCTTCGGTTGAGTAGCACTATGGGTGTCCAGAAGGGGGTTTTATGGCGCAACTTGCGCCTCGAAGTTTTCGAGGAGGTCACATTTCGATGGGGATTTGAATTTTTGAGGGCAGCACATTTCGTCCGGGTTAGGATTTTTCGAAATGAAATGTTTTAAATCAGGAGACAAAAGGAAAGAACAACCACTGAAAGTGAGATTGTAAATTACCTATGATTTTTAAAATTTTATTTTAGCTTGCACTTATTTTAAGATGAGGAGTGCAATAAAATATCTTTGGGAGAGGAGGGGGCCGATTTATGCGCCATTGACCTTGGGGGATGAGGGAGACGGACACCTCTGAGTAGCACACTATCGCAATGCCAAATCTGTATTTTTGATGTATTCTAAATCAGAACAAATATTAAGATAGCGGTACACTAGATATCGGTTCGGAGGGCGGGGTTGCCGAATAGGCGCAGCACCGCGAGTTGACCGGCAACCAGATAACCAAGTTTTGAGATTGAAAAAAAAGTACGAGTTCTCGTCCCGGTGTCAGAGGAGATTTTATCTCTAGCATTAATCCCCCACGCTTACCTCTGGTCCGGGGTAGGAGAAGAAACCGTTCTCCGGCAAGAAGGGCAGAAAAAATGAGCCCTAATGATTTTGACATGTTGGGGGTAAAGATCACGCCAAATGGCCCAATATTTTTGTGGCCACATTTATTCTCAATTTTGTGATAAAATTATCTTACGATCCCAGTGAAAAGCGATTGAGAGTTCATGAGTTTTTAGTACCTAATTGAATCGACAAAGTTTGCTGATTTTCTTTAGTAAAAAGTTGTAGGTTACGATGAGATTAAGCAATTCACGAAGCTTTAGTTTGATGTTAATAATTTGATAAAAAGGAGTCAGTACAACGGACTATTATGTAGTTCAACTATTATTGATAACAGTAGAATTTACTTGATGTTGAACATTAATATTAATTTTCATTGAATTATTTACTTTTGTTTAACTACTAAGGATTCTGATAAAGATTTCTAAAGAGAGTAGCAGTTATTGAAAGAGGATCGAATGACAAAGAATGTGAGTAATAAATTAGTCTTCTAGTCTATTAACAGGTATCTAGAGGCCATGTATTTATGTACATATATATTTGGAGAGGACGTGCATCAAGTAATCATATTAATCACAGTAATTACAACTATTGAAAGTTTTAAAATTGACATTCCATTCCCATTAGTTCTTTTTCAACTGAAGATGTTACAACAGTAATTCGGCATGACGAACTTTTCTCCACCTAGTGCAGATTCTCGCCATTCTGGATTGACTCATTAACAGGGCCCTATCTCTCACGATCTGCGGTAACCATGGGGACCGCTGATGAAGGCAAAAATGAGGACAGCCACGCCGACATAACTCCTGCCCGAGGGGATTTGTTGGCGAGCTATTTGGAGGTCGGCCGCGTACGGCTCGTAAAGTTGCCCCGCAATTAATACTTCCTTATCTGGCCGCTAGGTGCGCTACCTGTTCTGTATGCGCGCCTCCTCCTCAAGTGTCACTCAAAATGGCCGCCGTTCGATACCCCCTCCCTGGGAGAAGCGCACCAATTACAATTAAGCCCCAAGTGCCCGGACTTATTACAGATAACGTGTTAAATGGTGTCATAAACTTATCTGCGTTATGGCTTTGATGCTGGGAAATTGCGGCAGTATTTCAAGGCTCCCTCCCTCACTAAAAATCCCTCCTCAACCCATTTCCCTCCTCTTCCCCCTCCTCAACCCACCCTATCTCTTGGTGGCCGCTTTGAACAGCTCTCCTCTGTTTAAATACACTAATTACCTAATCTCGAGTCTCTTAAATTTTAATCTACACAAAAGCTGAGTTAAAGTTTTCTGAAAAAGCCAGGATACAAATAATTTACAAAATTGTTATTGACAACTGATATCATTTAAAATTAGTGGATCACAAATGAGCAACAGAGCAAACCTAATGAACTATGTAACGTCTTTTATTGGATAAAAATCAATAATTAAAAAATGTATTGCATTTCAGTAATTCTTAAATGAAAGATCGCAAACTAGACATGATGTTGAGCAAATAAAAGTAGATCGTGCCTTTGTTAAAACTAATAAAGGTTTTGTCAAAGGAACAAAATTCCATAAAGCCTCGTTTGATTTGACATAATGGATTATTCGCGATACTTTTTTAACAACCGTTAAAAAGTTCTTCAGTTAAAAGTTCCCCATATTTAGAGAAACTTCCTAGTTAAAATATAAATATATAATTAAGTTCAAATGTGTTATAAAACAAGCTTATGTTCGCTCTCACTTTTCAAAATAACACATTAAATTCCTCCTCAAAATACCTCCATTTCAGCAAAAATAATTACAAAGACTTTATTACCGTGAAATAAGTGAATCCTATCATAAAAATCTGGTGCGCGCAACACACAACTTTCACATATCGCTCTAGTTGGAATAGTAATTATTTTATGGAAATTTTAGGCTATGATAAAAATTTTTAAATGCATTTTTAATGGAAGTACAGCTTAAAGCTTACAGCTAACAAATCATTAACACCATTAAAATAACAAAAATTAATTATATCAACAGTAGGCAATAAAAACCTGGTTACTCCATTTGTTTTGTAAACCACATAACTCTGAAGTATATATATGTGTGTCAAGAGGGATTTGAAAGTATATCTCTATATTCAACCCATAAATGATTATGGATTGTACGCCTATTAGTTATTTTCAATTTAACTGTTATTTTCCATTGTAAAGTTTATTAAAATTACCAAATTAGGAAGTTTCAAGTCTGTCATAGATGGGTCAAAAGTCGTCATACTAATTTTAAGTGGATATTTTTGAATTTCACCAAGAGAAAATTAACAAGTTATTCACTACTTTAATTTTCTAAAAAGTTACATGACGATTTTTCGGAATAAACGGACGTTGATACCTAATTATTTGAATATAATATAAAAATATTATATTATAACAATATTTTATACATCCATGAATTTTTTTTAGATTACACTTCTTCCCTCACATAGGTAGTATGAAATAGTTTTCTAAACAATTACATTACCTTGATTAGGTAAATTTCAAATACTTTTTTCAAACTTTAAAGAAAGGTTAAATTTAGTTAGAAAATTGGATTTAATTTCCTTGAATGCATGTGATTTCCGTTAAATAATATTAGTTTTCACAAGTTATTGTTTATAATTTTTCGTCACTCTCCATAACTTCCTATATTTGATATTGTTTTTTTTCTCTAAAATTCTCCGCTTTCCAACGATATATTATACGTATACCTTCTGGCTGATATTTCCGGAAATTCAT